ACGGACAGCGCCACCTAGCGAGTCTACGGACAGCGCCACCTAGCGAGTCTACGGACAGCGCCACCTAGCGAGTCTACGGACAGCGTCACCTAGCGAGTCTACGGACAGCGCCACCTAGCGAGTCTACAGACAGCGCCACCTAGCGAGTCTACGGACAGCGCCACCTAGCGAGTCTACGGACAGCGCCACTTAGCGAGTCTACGGACAGCGCCACCTAGCGAGTCTACGGACAGCGCCACCTAGCGAGTCTACGGACAGCGCCACCTAGCGAGTCTATGGACAGCGCCACCTAGTGACGCGACCGCTGACTAGATTACTAATCCGTGGCGCACGCGACGCCGAGTTACGCAAACGCGTCCAGCGACTGTGGCGCCCCCTATCGGTGGCGGTGGCAGCGGCGGTCGTAGACGCGGCTGATCTCCTCCAGGAGGCGCTGCGTGCCCTGCAGCTCGACGATGTCATCACTGTCGGCGGCGCGGTGGATCGCCATCACGCGCAGAGCTTCCCGCGTGAACACCTTCAGCTCCCCCAGCTGCTGCCTGCCGACGATGGAACAACGCGTGAACAATGACGGCTATGGAACATTGTAAGAACAATGACAGTCCCGGAACAACACGGGAACAATGACGGCTACGGAACATTGTATGAACAATGACAGTCCCAGAACAACACGGGAACAATGATGACTGTAGAACAACGTATGAACAATGACGACCATTAAAGAACGAACAAACAACGATTACCGCAGAAAAACACATGAACAACGATGGCCGCAGAACAACGTGGCATGACACGCCGGCATGGCCCTGCCACCGATGGTCCCCCCCCCACTCACGTGTATGACACACTCACATGGTCGCCCATGGTGCGAGCGTCCTTCCCCCTGTACACTCCCTCCCTCTCAGACCCCACCCCTCCTCCCCAACCCCCCCCTTCCACACCCCACCCCTCCACCTCCTCCACCCCTCCTCCCCTCCCCCCGCATGCCCCTCACACTCACATGACGTCAGCGTCGTGGTGGGGGTCGCCCGTGATGCGCGCGTCCTTGAGCCGCGCGAGCAGCAGATCGACGTACTTGCGCGTCTCGAAGGCCGTCTCGAGGCCGTCTGCGCCGTACAGATGCTGTGCGGTGGCGAGCGCCGGACGCATCGCGCTCGCAGCGCGCGCAAAGTCACCTGCCGTGTCGAGAGACAGAGACAGAGATATGAATGATGCACGGGAGGAGGAGGAGGAGGAGGAGGAGGAGGAGGAGGAGAGAGGAGGATGAAGATGAGGAGGAGGAAGAGGAGGAGAAGAGACCGGATGACGGCGACAAAGTCACTACTGCTCGTGTGGAGAAAGAGACAGAGATACTAATGATGCACGGGAGGAAGGAGGAGGAGAGGAGGGAAGGAGGAGGAGAAAGAGGAGGAGGAGGAGAGAGGAGAGAGGAAAGGATGGAGAGAGACGGGATGACGCGCAAGAGTCACACTGCGCGTGTGGAGAAACAGAACAGAGATATGAATGATGCACGGTGAGAGGAGAGAGGAGGAGGAGGAAGGCAGGAGGAGAAGAGGATGAGAGGAGGAGAGGAAGTGAGGAAGAGGAGGAAGAGAGACAGGATGACTGCGCAAAGTCGCACCTGCCGTGTCGAGAGAGCAAGACAGAGATATGACATGATGCACCAGGGAGGAGGAAGGAGGCAGAGGAGGAGAGAGGAAGGAGGCAAGAGGAGGAGGAGGAAAGGAGGAGGGAGAAGGAGAGAATGGATGACCGCAATAGTCACTCTGCCGTGTAGAGAGACAGAGACAGAGACCATAGAAAATGAGCACGAGGGAGGATGGCGAAGGAGAGCAGGAGAGAAGAGGAGGAAGAGGAGAGAGGAGAGGAGCAGGAGGAGGACGAAGAAGGAGGAGAGAGACGGATGACGCAGCAAAGGTCCACCGTCCGTGTGGAGAATCAGAGACAGAGATATTGAATGATGCACGGGAGGAGGCAGGAGGAGGTAGGAGGAGGAGGAGGAGGAGGAGAAACGAGGAAGCAGGAGTAGGGCTGTGAGGTAAGGAGAAGGAAGAGATGGATGACGCTCGCAAAAGTCACCTGCCCGTGTAGAAGAGACAGAAGACAGAGATATGAATGATGCAGC